TGAATGGTGGGGATCTGGGGGTCAAGGCAGGTGGAAATCAAGTTTGTGTAACAGAACGGCTTTCCTCTCACGGAGGCAAAGGGCTCAACATCTGGAAGATGCTGAGAAAGCCGTCTGGAGGGTCCCACCCCATGGGGTCACTTTTCCTTGGCACTTTTCCACTGCCAGCCACTGGAGAGAAAGAACCAGGAGTGTGGTGCAGGGTGGAGAGAATGATGTTGCTCCAGAAAAGATGCAGGAAAGCAAAGTGAGTTGAGACAGAGATGGTATTTAGAGGGTCCTTGTCTAGTCGAGGCACTGCCTCCATCAAGGTGTGTGACCCCAGGCAGGGAACTAGCCATCAGGAGGTTTGGTTACTCATCCTCAAAGCAGGGCCAGATAGGGCAGCTCTGATCAATTGGCTAGTGTTTCTCTGAGGTATGAGGTCACATTCTGCTCTTGGGAGGAGTGCAACACTGGGTTTCGAACGGTAGTCATAGCAACAGGAAGTACATGTGCTGTGTACTTGCCATCCCAGACCAGGTGAATCAGTTGCATCTGTTCTACTTACAGAGTCACCAAAGTCCAGACTGGAAGGAATCTTAAAAGTCCTGTTGCCCCAGCTAGGTGCTCGGATCCCCCCACCCCCTTCAGCATTCGTGACAGATGGTCATTAAGACTCTGCTGAGACCGCCAGGAGTGGGTCAGTCAGCAGTACCTACCAGGGAGTCCTCTACCTTCCGAAGGTGCTCATGTGTAGAAAGGAAGTTCTCCTGCAAGAGCTAAAATCTGCCTCCCTGCAGCATTCATCTCCTAGGATGGCTCTCCTGGTGCTTCCCAAACCTCTCCTCCAGCCTAAACATCCTCTTGAAGTCCTTGCACTGCTTCTCACAGTCTGCACCCCTCCTCAGGAACAGGCATGCTCACCTGAATGTTATATGTTATCAGCATTCTTCTTACGGCAATCACAAATTGGGTTCACCAATGTTTTCTCCTTATGTCTGAACGCTCTGTGGCTTTTTGTTTGTTTTGGGGTTTTTTTTTTGTGTATTTTTTTGGGGGGGGGGTAGTTTCATCCCACTTTCTTGACCTGCATTGAGCTCAGCCAACTGAAACTCTTACCTGCTCTCCACTTTGTACTTCTATAGTTTTATTTTGTTTTGAAATCCAAAGTTGGGACTTTATGTTGCTTCCTGGTGAATTTCGAAGATCTAGGTTTTATTCTAGTCTCTCAGACATTTTTGGCCGTAGAACTTGTCATTTAGCTGTTACCACTCCAACTTCTTGGCATCCATCAATTTCATTAGGAAGTTGTCTAATTTCCCACCTAAGCCACACTAAAAATGTTTCGTATGGCAAGGATGCAGTGTCAGTCTCCACCTGCCAGGCTGACAGAGGTTCCCTCAGGTTTGATGATTCAATCTTTCCTTAAAAGGGAAATCATATTTCTTTCTATCACTTACATGTGTGTCTTTGAGATTAGAAAATGGATGTTCAAATTAGAAAAAGACAGCCACAGGTTTAGAAAGGCATTAGTAACATCTGGGTTTCTCTCTCTGCCACACAACTTGATAGCAACAAATGAAGACAGTGTCCCTCGTTTTCGTCCCTCTGGAAGGCCGTTCTTTTTTAAAGGAAGGAATCATGAAAGCTAAGCCGTTTGGGGGTGAGTAAATGATAAATACTCCAATAGCAGTGGGCCAGAGAAGTAAGGCATAGGGACAGACAGGGACAGTTGTGAGTGCTGCCGTCACACTGGCGATGCTCACCTGGGTTCCCACCAGCGTGCAAGCAGCAGGCAGTGAACATGCCCTTCATGAACTGAACCAACTCTATCTGGTGGCTGGGTTTACAAGCTTTTTTGTTTCAGTGCCATATTTCTTATATTGCTCCTTTTCTATGGGGAGAAATGTGAGTCCACGTGAGAATGGGAAGGATGGGCTGCCCTGAATACCCTTTGCCCTTTGCAAGGGGCACGCTTTCCTTTTCCAATACGTGATAGTACAAAAAAAAAAAAAAAAAAAGGAAACTATTTCTGTTTGGAGTTTTCTTGATTTTTTGGTGAGAAAAGCACAGAACTTAAATTCATCTAATTTTAAAATGCAGAGCAGGGACTGATGCAATTTCGTTTGCAGAAAAAAAAGTATTAAAATGTAAATTTCAATTCTGTATCACGGCCAGCTATGGGAACAGACTGAGGAGATAGGAGATGAGGGTCATGGGAAGGAGAGGGTGAGACAAGGGGGACAAGAAAATGGGAAAGAGGGCTCTCTGGAAGGAGAGAGGAGCATTGTCACTGGAAATGCTACTGGACATTATCATGTGTGTTGTGCTAAGAACGGAGGCATTTAGATGCTGATATAAGAAACTAGGAAATTAGTAAAAACTGAGTTTTTAAAACAAGTTGATAACCCCCTGAATCTAGTAACTCATGCCCTTTCCAGACAAATGAATTCCAAGACTAGCTCAACTATTTGTTGCAAGAGGAAAAAAAGATGCTCACTTTCAGTACTTCTTTCCCCTGAAGACCTGGGGTTGATTCATTTGCTCCTACCCAATTCCACACCTGGCAAGATGGCCATTCTCATGGGAGCATCCCTGATCCTTTAGAGCACCGTTGGTAAGATTTAGGGACACTGTTAGACGTCAAAGAGACAAGTCATGAGAATCCTGGGTTGGAAGAACCTGGGATGCTCACCTCCCACTTGGTGGAAAAAGCCCTTTTAGGCTGGTGAACCCACTCATATGGCAGCCATACCTCTGCTGTGTTGGGCAGCCTGGATGGCTAGAAGGTTTTCCCTTCATTTAAGCTGAAATCAGCATTTCTGCTCTTCCACCCATTGATCTTGCTCTGCCCTCCAGCATGCAAAGACAGCCTCCTCCAAGGAATCCTCCAAAGGACTGGCTTGTTCAGGAAGATCAGAGAGCAGCCTCAAAAAGGATACCCTCTCCTGGGACGAGAAGCAAAGGCAAGTGATGAAAGAGAGAGAGAGTGAGTGCTGGCTAGGAACCAGCCATATGCTTGGCTTCTCTGGTCTGCTTTTGATTGGTGGGCACGGAAATCTGGGCCTCTGCCCTGCTGCTTATGGCACAAGTTATATAAGGATCAGGAGAGATGGGTGTGCTTTTGGAAAAAGGTGACTGGGGCTTTCCAGAAAGAGAAGGACACTTATAGTAAGGCCAAATAGAATTTCTGAAAGCCCAAGGGTAATGCGAGCATGATGGGGTGTGTCAGATACTGCTTCCAAAAGCACATCATCATCAAATTAGCAGATTTTTGGGTTAAAGCACTCATGGGAGAAACTCAGTTGCTATAAATTTCAAAGCAAACATTTTCTTTGAATGGGAAATAGGCCCAGGACCATAGTACTAAATAAGACAAATTTTCTTTACACTTCCAATTTGTTCAGCCTGATTATTTTTCTTAGTGGGTGTAAGAATATACTATATATATATATATATATATATATATATATATATATATATCCCCTTCTTTTTCTTCATTGATTTTTTTTCAGATAGATTATCTTCCATACGCACTGCATTCTCTTTCCACCCTGAGGCCTTGTGAACTACAGAGTCATGTGAACGAATCAAGAAGGACCCTACTGCTGTGTCCATTGTGGAGGAGTTCACAGCCCCTTTTCCCAGGCTGATTGCATTAATAAAGATCTTAGTGCTCACACCTTGGAGGGGAGATATGGTTTGTGAGTCACGGGGCAAGGTGTGTGTAGGGGAGGGGGCAGGATGCAAAGAGAAATCCACAAATCAAACCAGAAAGACCCAAGGGAGACTCTTTCCAATATAAACATAGTATTCTTACTGGGATAGGTTGGCTGGACTTTCCTCTGGGCGATGTGTGGTGAAGGCCCAGGACAGATGACTGAGGAAGAGGCAAGAGCCCAGGGGGCCACGGGGCTGTGTGCTCTGGAAGTCTGCTCTGGGTGACAAAAAGAGACCTTGATGTAGGATACCAGGGGTGGTGTGTCCCCCTGGGGGGAAGAAGAATTTAAGGAAATCACCTTGCTACCCCGATGGCTTTCTTATCGCATGGGCTAGTTCTGTTAAGGATGGGGTTCAAGAACCCATGCAGAGTCCTGTGATTTTGTGGGGGAAGGGAAAAAAGAGACTCCTGAAACAAGTGAGTGCAGGAGATTAAGACTTGACTTTGGGCCAGAGGAAAGAATTCAAAGGTCTAGGCTTTGTTTGCTGAGTGTGAAACTTCTGAGCCTCTTGGTCTGAAAGGAAGCCACGTTCTGCAGATGTAAGACTTCTGGCCAGGCCTCGGGGTAGAGGTTTTGTGGTCAGACCGCAGGGGTTGGGACTGACCACATGGGTCAGTCCATGACCTTATACCTGGTGGGTCAGTTACCTAAGCTGAGTCTCAGTTTTCTTGTCAGTAAAATAGGGACCATGATTCATTCCCTGCCTCCCATTCTGGGGCACCATGAGCCATAATGAGCTAATATCTCTGATTATACTTTCCAAACAATAAAGCACTAAACTGGCAAGAGATATTTGTGTCATAAGGCAGGAAAACAGCCTAAGGTCTTTGAGCATGAAAATAGGCACAGCCGGGCTGAGGTAACAGAGGAATGCAGGCATCTTAGCAAGCCTTAGGGGGGCCCTGGGGTGGAGGTTCTGCCTCCTCTGACTCTCCCTGGGGCACTGATATTGGAAGGGCCTGCAGCGCCAGGTATGAGGCAGCGCCCAGACAGGGCCCGGCTGCTGACTTAGAAAGTGCCAGGATGGAGGCAGCTGAGAGCTGAAGGCACTCCCCACCACTTGGTCTGCAGAGAGCGCAGGGGCCAGGCTTCTGGAGGAGGGCTCATCAGTTCATGGTGATGCTCAAAGGACAACCGTGGCCTTGCTCTTGGGCACTGCGTGTACACTTTACGAAGGCAGGGTGCGGACTAACTTGACTGGCAGCTCCACAGGCCAGGGGGCCCCAGTAGGGCAGCAGCCAGCCGGTCCCACCGCTCACAGACTCCCGGACCTGCCCACGGATGTGGAGTGGGATGTTATCTGCTCCCGAGGAAGCCCGAGTGCCTGTTGGCCACACGCGTGCAGGAGGCGCAGCAGGCGGTCTTGTAGTAGTTATAGACACAGAGTCTGGCCTGGACCACCACGTTGCAGTTGTAATACCGGTCCTTGCAGTTTTCATCTGCGGCAGAGGAGAATGGAAAAGACTTTGAGCATGAGGAGCAGCCTGGACTTAGGGAATGAGAAAGGGCAGAGGGTGTGGCTATTCATCCCAGTCCCACTGTTTACTACCGATGGAAGGTGTGAGTGTGGGCTGAGAGCAAGGTTATATATATTTTTTTCTTCTTTAAACATGCAGCTGAAATCTGTCCACTCTGACCTTAAGGATGCTGGAACCAAATCTCTGAATGCATTTCCACTTTAATTAATTCCCATGTAAGTTTCTCTTTGCTCGCCATCTGTGCTATCAATAGCTACCTTAAACTACGAAATTTACACCTGAAGGATGCTGACCCCCTCTGAACTCCATGACTTTGCACACAGTCACAGAGAGACCTAGATGAATCTGGCATTTTGACACCAGAGAATTTGATGGAGATTAAGAAAGATGAATCTTTTACTGCAAGGTACGACTCCCTACTTACCAACTTCAGGGACACACTCCTGAGGGTTACAGGATTCTTTTTCTTCTGGTTTCAACTGAGGGTCACAGAGATTACTTAGGGTCATGTCATCTGCCAGACAGCGTACTTCCCGGACGCGGAAACCACCCTGACAGCTCTTGGAACACTGTGAGGGGAAAGGAAGAAAGTTAGACTTCTTGGCAGCCCATTAGCTCAGCACACCGGAGAAGGCAGATTTTGGAAAATTCTGACATCTACCAAAGGAGACAATATTAAAACAAACTCCCCTGCACCTACTAATCAGCTTCAATGGGCATCTACTCATGACTAGCCACATCCCATCTGTACCCTTCCAGGATGACATCTCAAATTACTTTGAAGCAAATCTAGACATCATATCACTTCCATAATATTTCAGTTTGTAGCCCTAAACAACCAAGATTCTTAAAAAATTACCACAATACCATCATTATACCTAGAAATTAACAATAGTTTCTTCTCTTCAAACATATATTCTATTTTGCTTGTGAATCTCAATTTTATTTTAGATTTTCTTGCTTTATTTTGTAGTTTAAAAGTCCAGTTACAATTTTCAAAACCTGTTACTGACATGTCAGCTTTCTAAAATAGAGATTTTTTGGGGGTGTGGGGATCAGGGTCCACATCAGGTCTGTACACTGCAGTTGGTTGATAGGCCTTTTAATCCATGGGCTCCCTCCCCTGTGTTTTTACCCTTGTACTTTAGTTGTTGGAGGAATGGAATCACCTGTCTTGAAGAGCCTCCCACAGTTTAAGATTTTGCTGAGTGCATCCCCTGTGATACAGGCTGACATGTTCCTCCATCTTCCACATTCCCCACAGATAGGATGTTGGATCCAACCTATTCACCTTTATCAGGTGCAGGTTTGATTTGTGTGCGTGTGTGTGTGTGGTGAGACTACTTCATAGGATGTGTTTGTTTAGTTGTCTCTCTTTGGAGGAGGTCAACACTCACTCAAGAGCAGATCCATTAGTTCATTTGGGGTTGAAAAATGGTGATAATATCCTAATACCACTTCTTCTTTTATAAGCTGAGAATATAAAGGATTCCCACTCCTTCTTCACTTATGTTTACTCTCTGGTTACCCAGTGGTAAGCCTTGTTTAGGAAAGACAGGGCAAATGTTTGATTATTTTCCTTTATTTATCAGTTTTCAGAATAATGAGTTGGTTCCTCTAACATCCTACAATGGTGGATCCTCTAATTAGTTTTTTAATCATTGTAAACTTATTATATATGGATGGATTTAAATTTATTATAGATGGAAGGATTTAAACTTACAAAAGGATGGATTATAGATGGATGGATTTCATTCAATGCATGGCAGTTATTATTTTTACTGATGCTCATTGATGCCCCATCAATGGGCATCCAGAGGTCAGAGTTGGTTCTTGAGCTCTTTAGACATGAACTCATCTTTGCACTATGGTTGTGATAAAAAAAAAAAAATAAAATAAATAAATAAATAAATTAAAAAAAAAAAAAAAAGAACCTCCTTGCTGCCTGGTATAAAAAGTTATCCTGATTTAATTTATATCTATACAGTCCCAGACCAGAAATCAGACATCTTTCTTTGGCTCCTTTTAGTGGAGAATGGTATTTTGGTGTCATTTTATTTTATTATTTTTTTTGGTCTCACTGCTTGGCATATGGGATCTTAGTTCCTTGACCAGGGATCAAACCCAGGCCTTCTTCTCTGGAAGTGTAGCATCGTAACCACTGGACCACCAGGGAAGTCCCAGAGAGTGGCATTTTGAAACCAGATTCCGGCTGATAGGCATGGCCTTTGCTACTGGGTTGGTCATTGTTTCCAGGATCTTCCAGTGGATAAAACAGAGAAAAATTTTTTTAAGATAAATAAATTTGTGAGTTCAAACTGATATTTCTAAGTCAAATTTAGGACAACTGGATTTTCACTTAAATCTCTTCTGTTCTGTCTGTTATCTTCTTTCTCCTAAGCTGAGAATCCTGTTTCTTAAGGCAACTGGGGATAACAGAGCTACAGTATATCTACTATTACATGTATCATCAGAATACTGGGAAGTAGATTATTCATTTACTTTATCACCTGTTATACACCCAACCATTTCAGAACACAGGACAACAGCCATCACTAAAAATGTGGTTATTGCAAACAATGTAAACATTTTCCTGAAGTTCTTTTTGTCCTTATAGATAGACAGATTACTGTGATTTAGAGCCACAGGCAAGAGAGCTGATGCCACCAACTGCATACATATTTAGGCTAATTTGTTTCATTGCATTTTCCATCTTTAGGGATTTCTTTTTTAAAAGAATAATTTTGTTTTAAATTATATAAAGTATTTACTTTGTTCCAAATGCAAATTTATGAAACAAGGTGAATTTTAAAAATGTCTAGCTTCCATCACTGTTTTTGCTACTATTTTAACAATATATTTCATATTTGCTTCAATTGACTTATTTATTTAAAAAATATTTATTTACTTATTTGGCTGCTCTGGGTCTTAGTTGAAGCATGTGTAATCTTTGCTGTGGAATTTTGGATCTTTTTTAGATGTGATATATGACATCTTTAGTTGCGGGATCCTAGTTTCCCAACTAGGGATCGAACCCAAGCCCCCTGCATTGGGAGTGTGGAGTCTTAGCCACTGGACCACCAGGGGAGTCCCCACTTATTTACTTATTTTAAAATTTACATGCGGAAAAATTCATCTTTTGTGGCGCACAGTTCTGAGTTTTGACAAATTCAGAGAATCGTGTATCTCCCGCTGCAAACAAGATAGAACTTTCATCGCACAGAACAAATTCCTTTGTGCTGGCCCTTTGTAGTGAGATTTGTCCCACCCCATCCTCTGGCAATCACTGGTCTGGTCTCTGTTCCCATAGGTTTTCCTTTTACAGGATGTTATGTAGATAGTATTATACACTATGTAACTTTGTGGGGGGAGGGGAGTCTTTCTTCCATTTAGCAAAATGCATTTTAAGTTCTTCCATGTCAAAGGAGGTATCAGTTCTTTGGTTCCTGCTGCTGAGTGGCACCCCATTGTTTGGACAAACCTCTGTTCATTCATTTGCCCGGGACATCAGGGCTATTCCCAGCAGATGTCTTAGGAGTTTGTGGCCTTTGATGTGGCCTGGTGAGTTTGGCCCTTTCTAGACTCTCCAAACCAAATGGCAGAACAAAATAGTGGTCTGTTCCTGCTTTTTCAAGGACCATGGCCAACATCAAACCTAACCCTAAGAAGCAAATTCCTTGGCCAAGTGGGACCCAGAATCAGTCTTTGCAAACAAGGTCCCAGCTGACTCTTAGGTCCATGAAAATTTGAGAGTCACCATTTTATGGCCTCTATAGTTTAGAAGTCAAGCTCGTCCCAGCCTCAGGCTCCCTCCTCCCCACCAAGCAGGCTGCGTCCAGGGCACCCCAGCTGTGACCAAGGAGAGCAGATTGTGCAGGGAATCCGGGCTGTGCCCAGGACCTGAGAGGTGAGATGGAAATGGGCTGGCCCAGGAGATGGGCCAGCCATGAGGGGTGGGGGGAAGCGGAGGGGAGCACTGGGACTTACCATGCTCCATTCTGTGTTAAACCATTTGGCCCCGCAGGGCTTGAGGTGGCATGGTTGCTGGCTGGGGGGTTTCTCCAGAAAGGAACATTCATAGGGGTCCAGCACTTCAAAGGCGTCTGTGTTCTTCCTAACACAGATCACCTCCCTCTGCTGGGTCCCGCTCCCACACTCGATGGAACACTAGAGAAGGAAGCAGAGAAAGACAAGTGTCACATGATAGAAAGGGGATGAGAAATACCATCCATTGAGGAAGGTTTCCCAGAACTTTCCATCATTGCTTCAGGGAAGTTACAGTTTTCCTGATAGCTCTGTTTCTGGCATGGATAGCATCTGCCCTGAACTCTCACATCTTGAGGATGCTGGTGGCTGAGATCCTGATGCCCTCAGTAAAATGGGAGTGAAATCAGGTTTCCCATAAGTTATCCCACAAAGCATGCCATCCAGTCATTGGTTTTGTCTGGTAGACTCTGACACCTCTCATTGTAAAACAACGAACTAACATTTAGCTTATCTGCTGGCCTTTGGCAGGGTACGGCTGGGAATGAATTCTTTTCCCAGAGTCTGCATGTATGTGGGTGAAGTGCTACATTAAAATTCTTTGGGACTCACAAAACTCAGAAGACCATGGACTTGGGACAATGTCCCTTATGATCAGCCCTCCCCTTCCGACAGGGCAGCCAGCAGGAAGCCTTTGCCCACAGAATCCAACTCCCTGGCTCCTTACTTAGAGCCGAAGCTCACTGAGGTTGTGATTGCAAAGAGTCCAGTCAGATAATTACACGTCTTGCTTCATTGCATTAGGTTATGGAAATACGATGCATGTAACTGCCCGTTACTTATTCTAGTTAGCATTTATTACTTTGCAAAATATTTTCTGTTCATGTTTGGTGTACTCTTACTACCTTTTGATTTAAAAACACTTTATAAGCTGTGATCTATACACTTTAAAAAACTTTAAAGAAGCTATTGCCTTTATGAAAAGCCTGTAAAAATGTCTACAGCTGCAACTCTTAATACTAGCCTTGCTTCGATGTGCAGGCACATGGTGAAATTAAAAAAAACAGTGGGTGGGGGGGAACCCATGTCACCAAACAGCAAAAAAAAAACCTCAAACCCAAGCCAATAGACTACAGATTAGTCACACAGCCCATGATAAACCTCCCCATCAGCAATTTCTACTTTGAGCCTGTTTTCTGCCATCTTCACAGGTATACAGAAAACTACAAGGCTTCTTAGTTTTGGAGCTGTCTGTTCAGATGGTAGAGAATAAATGAGACCCAGACACAGGGGCAGACAAGAGGCCTGCTCCTAATGGCTAAAGATTGTGGAAGACCCTCCCGCCCCCGCAAGAACTAAGATAATTTAAGTGTGAAGCAGGGCTTCCCAGGTGGCTCAGTGGTAAAAAACCCGCCTGCCAATTGAGGAGACACGGGTGCTATCTCTGGGTCAGGAAGATCCCCTAGAGAAGGGAATGGCAACCCATTCCAGTATCCTTGCCTGGAGCATTCCACAGACAGAGGAGCCTGGTGTTCTACAGGCCATGGGGGTCACAAACAGTTGGACATAACTGAGCATGCGAGTACACACAAGGATGAAGAAAACCCAGAATTGACAGAGAAGAAAGAAAGCATCTGGGCATGAGTAATAGACTTGGTGGAATATCTTATGAATAAGAGGTGGGCTACTCCATTTCCAGAGTAGAAAAAGGGTCCCTAAACCTCAGAAGTCTCATTCTCTTCGGACAGCTTCTCTACAAGCCTCAGTAGGACCACTGCTAGCACCTGGGCTCACAACTTCCAAGGGAGTCTTTTCCCCTAAGGCCACATTAAAAGTCCCAGGGAAGGACTCAGTTTGACTCAGCTTGGGTCATATGTCCAATCTGGACCAACCACTGTAACCAGGCCAGTGGGGCATTTGAAGCCAACTCTCATTCAAACTATGGGTCTGGAAGGAATATTTCCTTTTATACCTTGAAGTCAATTAATGTTTAAGACTTAGTTTCAATAACTAAGCATGCTATATTTCATTTTCTTCAGGGATAATATCCAATTCCCAGGGCAGGGAGGTGTCAGCAGGCTATGACAGTTTTATAAATTCAGAAACAAAACCTGGTCTACAATCAATCAGGTCCTGACCCTTTGGATGACAGGGCGATACATTCCATGTTTCTAATCTTAGCAGAAATAAACGCCGCCTTCACGAGGATTCGTGTGATTCTCACTTCTCTGAGTGCTTGCGCCCATGCTCAGTCATGTCCAGCTTTTTTGTGACTCCTTGGATTGTAGCCCACCAGGCTCCTCTGTCCATGGAATTCTCCAGGCAAGAATACTGGAGCAGGTTGCCATTTTCTTCTCCAGAGGAACTTCCTGACCCAGGGATTTAACCTGCATCTCTTGTGTCTCCTGCATTGGCAAGGGGGTCTTTACCACCTGAGCCATTAAGGAAGCCTGTTCTCTGAGTAGGTCTAGAGTTAATAGGAGGCCCATAAATGAAAAAGAACTGAATCCTGCTCCCCTCTCTTCTTCCTCAGACAGTGGGGGACACGTGAGTTAAATTGCACTGGTTATCTGCTCTGTGTGAAGGCTGTTATGATCTGATACTGCAGTTTCACACAGGACTCTTCCCATTGTCTCAGTTTCCATAGATTGCTGTCGTTCAGTCGCTAAGTCATGTCCAACTCTTTGTGACCCCATGGATTGCAGCATGCCAGGCTTCCCTGTCCTCCACTATTCTCCCAAAGTTTCCACAGATACTTGGTGTAATTGGTGTCCCATACACCGTTCACTCCGAATTATCTTTGGGGTTTAGATCCTAGATATTTTGCTACCAACAATGAGATAGAAACATTGGCAGAAAAAATTAACAAACATGGAGAAGAGGAAACCAATATTTATTAAGTACTCCCCATGTCCCAAGCAACAACCCATTCATACAGTGTCTCATGAAAATCCAATAGCAACTCTAAAAAGGTGGTGTTATTATTCTCCTATCTGGATGAGGAAACAGGCTCAGAAAGGTTAAATTACCCACCCCAAGTCAGAGAACTAAGGGGACATAGAGCTGGGATCAGTTATCAAGTATGCCTAACTCTGATACCAACTTGGGTAGCATTGGTAGTACTTGCATTCTTTCTTTTCTGAATTTGTTAATATTTTACAGTTTGTATTATAAAAATATTAAAGGAAATTTGAGGAGAAAACATTTGCTCATGTTGTTTATATAAAAAGCTATACTTTGAAGTGGTTGAGATAGGGTTTACATACTTTAACATAGTCTGTTTTTCACTTGCCATTATATGTTCTTTCCACATCTTCCTAATTATCATTGTTGTTGTTACATAATACCTTAATGAGTTATGATATGCCATAATATTCCTAATTGCCCTGCTGTCACGAACATCTCTGTTGAAAAAGGCTTTTTTTTTCTCCTGTTAATTATTTCCTTAAAATGAATCCTCAGGAGTGGGGTGAGTGGGTTAAAGCAAATGAACATTTTTATGGTTCTTGACTTTTATTGCCAAATTGCTTTCCAAAGGGGCTGTATCAATTTACAAGGACAAGGCAGTCCATTTTTTTCAGGGTCTGTTTTTAAAGCTACTTAAAAGAAATAAAATTCTATATGGAGCCAGAGGTCCAGAGAACGTATAAATCATGATCATCAGCCAAAATTCTTTGGAGAACAAGCCAGCCCTGGGAGCCAAATTCTAGATGGTCTGAGAACTCAAAATACTGATGGTCATCATAACAGGGCAAAGAGGGAATGGTTTTAGGGGGCTCATGTACAATTTGGAACTCTAAGGAAAAAATTAATTGATCAGTTAAGTTACTTTATTGAGGTATTTGGTGTTATTGGTTCTTCAGAATGAACAAAAGTAGCTTCTGTTTTTGCTTCTTTCCCCCAGCTTTACTGAGATGTAATTGACAAATAAAATTGTAATATATTAAAAGTATGCTACTGATGATATAGTATACATATACATTGTGAAATTGTCCTTACAATCAAGTTAACACATCCATCACCTCACATATTTACCTTTTTTACATGCATATGTGAAAACACTTAAGTTCTACTCTCTTAGGAAATTTCGACTATACAGTACAGTATTATCTACTGCAGTGTAGACACCATGTTACACACTAGACCGCTCCCCCCACCAGAACTTGTTCGCCTTATAACTGAAAGTCTGAACTCTTTGACCAATCTCTTCCTATTTCCCCGACCCCAGCCCCTGGCAACCATCATTCTACTGATTGTCTCTTTTTAAACATTCTGCATTTATTGCTTTTGGCTGTGTCTCTGTTGTGGCACATGGGCTTGACTGCTCCATGGCATGTGGGATTCTAGTTCCTCGGGGGGATTGAATCTGCATATCTTACACTGGAAGGCAGATTCTTAACCACTGGACCGTCAGGGAAATCCCTGTATTCTCTTCCTCTGAATTTAACTTTTCTTCAGATTCCACTACTTGTGATACCACTGCAGTATTTGTCTTTCTGTGTCCTGTTTACTTCACTTAGCATAATGCCCTCTAAGTCTGTCCATGTTGTTGCCAGCAGCAGGATTTCCTTCTTTTATTAAAGGCCAAATAATGTCATTATAAACAAATACCACATATTCTTTACCCATTCATCTGCTGATAGACACTTAGGTTATTTCCATGTTTTGGTTACTGTGAATAACGCTGCTACCCACATGGTAGGGGATGCAGGTACTTCTCCCAGGTAATAATTTTCTTTCCGTTGGGTATATATCCAGAGTGGGATTGCTGGATCATATCTATTTCTGCTTTTGACTTTCAAGTACAGCCCAAACTGACTTATTGAACAGCAGCAATAGGAAAAGAGCAGGAGAAGCTACACTTTATTGTGTGTATTGTACATCAGGCACTGCATCACATACTTTGTAAACATCACTTCGCTTCTTCTAAAAATAACCTCATAGGTGCTGGCATGATCAGCATTATATAGAAAAGGAAACCATGCTGGACCATAAGCCTCCTGAGGGCAGGAATATTTGTTTTGCTCAATTATGCAGCCCAAGGGTTTTGAAGGGCACATAGTAGGTGCTCAATAAACACCGTTGACCGAATGAGGCTCCAAAAGCATAAGTAGCTTCTCCAGGATAACGGGCAGCACAGCTGAGATTCAAATTCAGCATCCCCGGGAGACACCGAGCCCTGTTTCCTGACCCCTTTGCTATGCTGCTTCCCACCGGGGACAGAGACACGTCGTCCCTGGCCACTCACCTGACTCCAGCTCCCCGCAAACCACTCCACCTTGCCGGTGCAGGGCCCGTTGTCACACGGGGTGGCGTCTGCCGGCCGGTTGCTCCCGCAGCCCTCCAAGGGCAGGCTGCCGACGTGGTTGGTCATGCACACCACCGAGCGCGTCCGCACTCCAGCCCCGCACTCCGCCGAGCACTGTGAGACGGGACGGGCACGTTAGCGAGGAGCCCTCCCCACAGGGTCTGAAGTCCCTTGCAGAGGAGGTGAAGGAGGACAGAACCCCCCATTTCCCTACCAACACTTCCCCTTGGAAACCACTGACCACTCATCATTCACGGTTTCCTCCATTATGGGACATCAGTACGGCACCTATCTGGGTTTCCTGGGACAGTCTTCATTCTGAATATCCTGTGCCACGGCTGTGATTAATACAGTTACACTTGTCAGCCTACCTGTTCTACCTGTTCTGGCTTTCAAATTAAAAAATGCAGTTAGTCCCCTACATATAAAGGAGTTCCTTTCCAAGTGTATGTGTTAGTAGCTAAGTTGTGTCTGACTCTTTTTGACCCTATGGACCGTAGCCTGCCAGGCTCCTCTGTCCATGGGATTTTCTAGGCAAGAATATTGGAGTGGGTTGCTATTTCCTTCCAGGGGATCTTCCTGACCCAGGGATTGAACACATATCTCCCAAGTCTCCTTCATTGCAGGCAGATTCTTTTACCACTGAGTCACCTAATTTGCTCATAAATCCAACAAACTTAGCCTAGGTACCCAACTAACACAATCAGCTATGTAGCACTGTACTCTAATAGGTTTATAATACTTTTCACAGAAATAATACAAAAAAACCAAAAACATAAAAACAGAAAATATTTTAATCTTATAGTATAGTACCTTGAAAAGTACAATACAGTACAAGCTACATCACCACTGCTTTTATGCTTGCTTCCGGACATCCTGGGCTTGAAATAAAGGTAAGGTACTGCTGTGCTCTATGCAGCAGTGTAAAATAAAGTACACAAAAGCAGAACCACTTGTAGAGGATGCACACACATGACAATGTATGACAGACACGCGAACTAACTTATGTGGCTGAACATGTGAATGCACGCTTGCATCTTTGAAAGTTCGAAACTTGAAGGTTCCTATGTAGAAGGCTCACTGTATAGTCAGCAGCAGAAGAATGAGAACACGAAAACTCGGGCACATGTCTGCCTGCTAGTAGCTGAGTCTGGCCTGGTCTGGGAAAGGAGGGTTGAAGTCTCTCACAAGACACTGCTGCCTGATACTAAGGCAGGTGGTTCCATTCCTCAAAGGCCACAGCTAGGGGTAAACTGGGAGGCAGACCGATAGAAAGGGAGAGCTTGGTCTGGGAACCAGGCACATCGGTGTGTGTCACATCCCTATTATCTGTGTGGCTGGGGCTTCCCTGGTAGCTCAGATGGTAAATAATCCACCTGCAATGCAGGAGACCTGAGTCTGATCCTCGGACCAGGAAGATCCCCTGGAGAAGGGAATGGCAACCCACTCCAGTATTCTTGCCTGGAGAATGCCATGGACAGAGGAGCCTGGCAGGCTACAGTCCATGGAGTCGCAAAGAGTCGGACATGAGTGAGTGACTAAGCATGCACACACATGTCTATGTGTCTGGGGGCCCGTGACCCAGTCCCTCATCTTTTCCATTATTATATTCCTGGCAGGAGGACTCTGGTTCTGTACTGTAACCAGGTTTCCAGGGGTTTGTGGCACATTACGGGGTGGAAGCACCCTGAGGGATTCTTCTAAGGGAAATGGTGCAGATTTGGCCTAATTGATAGGGAGGAACTAAGAGGCAGCCACTCATACCTCCATCCCGGTTAAACTTCCACAGTCTTCTGAAGAATCCAGAAACCCAGACACTGCTCATTTGATGAGCAGTTCAGCTGCCTTGGTCAGAATACTCCTATTGCCCACCAATCAACAGCTTCCATGAGAGTAGGCAGGCAAAACCATCATCTCTTCTCCCTCCCTCTCCTACCCCCAGGCATCTTTTAATTGCGCTTAGTATTTTTTCCTAAACTTTTTTTATTGTGGTAAAATACACATAACATAAATTTTACCATTTTAATAATCTTTAAGTGTACAAGTCAGAGGTATCAAGTATATTCACAATGTTGTGTAACCATTACTGCCACTCTTCTCTCTTCTAGCGCTTCCCTGTGGCTCAGTTGGTAAAGAATCCACCTGCAATGCGGGACACCTGGGTTCAATCCCTGGGTTGGGAAGATCCCCTGGAGAAGAGAACAGCTGGAGAATTTCATGGACTATATAGTCCATGGGGTCACAAAGAGTCGGACACGACTGAACAACTTTTATTTCACTTTCTATCTTCTAACATAAATCTTATTTTTGTCTTTGATAGATGGACTCATAATGTTTTCCCTTGTACACAGGTAACTGGTGGGATAATGATGAACTATATACACCTTTCAGTTCCTCCTTGACACCTGACACCAGGGACCCCCAAGGTAGCCTGGCTACTGGGAAAAGGAATGTTGGGGATGATTCTGAGTTTGTAAGAAGCAGGGGAGAGGCCTGTCATTTGCTGTGTGCTTGTTCTATGCCAGACATTCCCAAGATGTAGGAAAGTGCATTTATGTACTTTATTTAGAGCTTCATTATTTAATATTCATGTGACATGCTAAGGAGAATTAAATAAGTTCTTTCACACCCATGTCTTGATCTCCGAGGCCCTTAGTCTTCATAGGAGGATAGAAAGCCTATGATAGTTCATCTCTAGGCCTCTCCCCAAAAGTCAGAAACCACCCTTGGGATTTCGAACTAGAGTTCATCTCTATGTGGTTTGGGGCAGCTCCTGGTGCACACTCCTGCCCATCAGCCCAGCAGACTCAGTCCCACCTGCCCGCCATCCCCCTCGCTCACCCTCTCACTCCACTCGGTCAGGAACCAGCTTTTGGCGCAGGGGCCCATGTCGCAGTTCTCAATGTCATTGGGCCGGAGCTTCATGTTGCATTCCTCGTCGTCGACCACGTCCCCGATGTTGCTCACACACTTCACGTCCCGGGTCCTCTGTCCCACTCCACAGGGCACCGAACACTAAAACACAGCAAATGCACGTCAGCGCGGTGGACAGTGCTGTCTCCGAGGGCCCCTCCCATCAGGGCACCCTTGTCCTCCTAACCCACCGCCTGAGCAGAGGACAGGGTAAGGCGTGACTCCTGGGTGGCTGTGTACCCAGCCATGCGATGCTACCTGGGGAGGATCCCAGGCTTCCTTTGATCTTTTGGACCTCACTTCTGTCACCTATGAAATGGGAGAGCAGGATGGCAAGGAGGAGTTGACTCCAGCAGTCACTGGCCTTCACCCCACCACGACACAGGAGAGAGGAAGCCTGTGTGCACCCACCTCCCATGGGTCAGCCTGATTGACAGTCGGCCCTTAAGTCTATCTGGCAACCAGCAGTTGCTATGCGTCGCAGAAAAGTCCTTCCAGGAAATTGCGGGAAGGGTCCTCCTGGAGAACCCAGGGTTCCCCCACATAGGGTCTGGGAGGGGGCAGGTGGGAGGGCGGCCGTAGGCCTTGCAGGGGCAGCTCCAGAGCAGGCCGCCCACCGCGTACCGAGGTCCAGTCCGTCCGGATCTGCCACTCGCTGCAGATCTTGAGCTGGCAGGTGCTGGCGGTGTCGGGCTTCTCCAGGTGCTGGCAGCGGTAGGGCTGCACCGTCAGGCTGCGGTTGGCGTACACCTGGCGACACAGGACCTGGCGGTGCTGCATGCCCAGGCCGCAGGTTTTGCTGCACTCGGACCACTCCCCGATGTCCCAGCTGGTGCAGGAAGGAGACAGCGAGAAGGACCGTCACTTCAGTCAACAGGAAGAGAGCATCTCACACGGAAGCTGGCTGAGCCAATGGACACAGAAGCATCAGACTCGTTGGTTACGGGCGACCCCCAGCCTAAAGCAGCGCCTGGCAGCCTGCCTCTGCCCATCGGACTCCATAAAGGATGGGACTCTGTTCCATACCCTATTCATCAGTGATTAGGACCCATGTTCCGTAAAATTACAGAAAACCAAGAAGGGGCAAGTGATTTTTTCTTTTTTTTAATCTAGTCACCAAAATAACTCTAAAGGTGAGTTTTATTACCCTGTAGTACATTAACCCACTTTGAGACTAACTTAGAAGTCTTATTCCAACCTTCGTTATTCTTTAACTATTTACACATCAGTGTCACATATTCTCCTCTGTCATCCTGTCTTGCCACTTACTTAAATAAGACATTAGCACATGTCCATTGTGTCTTTGGGTAAGAACTATGTTCTTACTAGTTTGAGAATTATGTTTTAGTCCCGTTTAAGGGCTTTTCCCCCTTGTTCTTTTATGTTTTTCTCTCTCTCTTTTTTTTTTTTTGATGTGGAACATTTTTAAAGTCTTTATTGAAAGTATTACAATATTTTAAGAAATATTTATCTTTTTTATTTTGGGCTGTACTGGTTCTTCATTGCTGCGCACTGACTTCCTCTAGTTGTAGAGAGCAGGGGGTTACTTTCTAGTTTCAGTGCATAGCCTTCTCATTGCGGTGGTTTTTCTTGTTGTGATTCCTGGGTTCTAGGGTGCAGGCTCAGCAGTTGTGGTGCACGGGATTAGCTGCCCCGTGGCATGTGGGATCTTCCCAGACCAGGGGTTGAACCTATGTCCTCTGCACTACAAGACAGACTCTGAACCACTGGACCAACAGGGAAGCCCCAAATTTATTACAATATTGCCTCTGGTTTATGTTTTGATTTTTGGCCATGAGGCATGTGGGATCTTAGCTGCCCATCCAGGAGTGAACTCATACATCCTGCAATGGAAGGTGAAGTCTTAACCTCTGCGCTGCCAGGGAAGTTCCCCGCCTTGTTTTTCTAAAAGAAGAGTTAGTCAATAACTAACCCAATACCTCTCCTGAGACGCTCCCCAGGCAGATGTATTTGTGACTTTGATAATTGTGTCTCTGTACACAGCTCCGCTGAGCACTGACCACATTGGATTGTAACTTCTTGCTTCCCTCTTTGTTTCCCTTACCAGCTAAAACCTAGTTGCTCCAATTCACCAAAGGCTTCCTGGGAGGGTGCTATGAACTCCTGTGTTAGTCCTGAAAGACAGGTATGCTTGCTAAACAGATTGCATTTTATGCATAGACTAAGTCTCATTTTAAATCAGATTATATTTACTTCTAGGGTCCTATACAAAAGCAACCTGAGCCAGAAACACACGACCAAAACAGAGAGGTCCTCTTACAAGGCTGGGCAAGGGAAGATGTTGCAGGGCTCCTCCTCGGGGGTCGGCTTCATGGTCGAGTCACAGTAGCTCTCGGGAACCTCTTCGTGAGTGTTTCTGTGCACACAGCGAAAAATAGGGTACTGCGATCCTGCAAGGACAAGAAGTGTTTGAACACTGGGCTTTGGATGCAGACATGCAGAGATTCTGGTGCTGCTGAAGAGAAGCCTCAGAAACAGAACTGTTCACACACACACACTCCTCCATCCTGAGATGTCAACACCTACTGCACCAGGGCTTTCCCAGGCACTGCGGGGGGCAACAAAGAACAGTAGGAATAGTTCCCGTCGTCAAAGGTCTTATGGCCTATTCGGAGACATGGTTTGAACATGTTCAATGGCAGATAAAAACAATTTTCCTAAGAGTTCAAGACAATAAGAAAGATTGCTAGGAAGGGGAGTGGCTATAAAATGAACACAGACAATAACTTCTTGAAGGTTTTCTGGAGACATGAAAGAGAACAGGTCTCAGGGGATCTAGCTGCATCATAGAGAGAGGGTTGATTTTGGGTAGCTGTGCACATGTGTATTTTGGAGGGAGGAGGCTGTTCATGTTGTTGACCTAGGACAAAAGTGCATGGCAAACTGGCCTGTGAGTGTCAGGTATGTTGAAGAGACAGTCAGGCTGGGGCAGAGAAATAAGATTCAAGAGAGGCTAGAAAAGCAGCTGGCTTTGCCTTTGCAAATCATTTTTACACATTCCCCTAGTTAAGTACTGATCTGATGGTTAGTTATTTGAATATATGTCTGCCTCTTAGGAGACGGTGAGCTTCTCGGGAACAGGACTAGTTCTTGATCAATCCTGTAACCCAAGTATAGCAGGGTAATGAAGTGAAAGCAGCTCAGTCTTGTCCGACTCTTTGCGATCCCATGGACTACACAGTCCATGGAATTCTCTAGGCCAGAATACTGGAGTGGGTAGCTGTTCTCGTCTCCAGGGGATTTTCCCAACCCAGGGATCGAACTCAGATCTCCTGCATTGCAGGTGGATTCTTTACCAGCTGAGCCACAAGGGAAACCCAAGTTTGTCAGTGCTCATAAAAGTTTGTTGAGTGAATATTTTTCAGAGGTCTAAAATCTGTTTTGATTTCTTTCCTAAAAAACTACTAGTGGCCTCAGGTTGTTTTAAATGCACAGCTGAGTATTTCATACTTAACAAAGCTTAATCTATTTTGGAGAAAAAGTCAGAATTTGTTCAGTGAACTTTCTAGCTCTCAACTCGGGGTGGGGGGGGAGGTGGGGGGAAGTAGATTAAATTCTGCCTGCCTCTCTCTGCTACCCCCTGGTGGCAGCATTGAAGTATTACTAATGCGTGTTTAAAAGAAACTGCAACTCCAGTGTCTGAGGAATAAGATGCTTTTTTTTTTTAAAAAACAAATAATTGTCTACCCCCCCTCCCCCGCAAGCCCCAGTCTAGGCCAGTACCTGAATCCTGCTAGGCAGAACACTATCATTTATCCTACAGCTTCGTCTCAGTTCTGTTGCTAATTGGCCAGGCACTGAGAATTTCTGAATTTCAACTTGCTACAATTTTAATTGTAACTAGAGGGATAACTTTGACTGTAAGTGTCTCTAAATATGTCATCAGCCACAAAGTGTTTCAGTGCTTCTTTGGGCTGGTCTTGTGTGACACACTGGGCCAGAGGGTGGTTCTTGTAAGAAACTAGGCAGTTTGTACGACAGTTTTGAATCAGAACAATCACCTGTTTAAACTACTCTTGCTGTGAAAATTTACAATGCAGCTATAACTTGAGATCATTATTTTAAAATAATGTTCCAATTAAGCATAGTTATTAGCTGAGTAAAAAATCAGTGCTTGCTATAACATTAATAGGAAGCAAAAGCTTTTGTGGAATTAAATTTTGTCCATGCAAACTAGTACAGCCGCTCTGGAGAACAGTGTGGAGATTTCTTAAAAAACTGGAACTAGAACTGCCATATGACCCAGCAATCCCACTTCTGGGCATACACACCGAGGAAACCAGATCTGAAAGAGACACGTGCACCCCAATGTTCATCGCAGCACTGTTTATAATAGCCAGGACATGGAAGCAACCCAGATGCCCATCAGCAGACAAATGGATAAGGAAGCTGTGGTACATATACACCATGGAATATTACTCAGCCATTAAAAAGAATTCATTTATATCAGTTCTAACAAGATGGATGAAACTGGAGCCCATTATACAGAGTGAAGTAAGCCAGAAAGATAAAGACCAATACAGTATACTAATGCATATATATGGAATTTAGAAAGATGGTAATGATAACCCTATATGCAAAACAGAAAAAGAGACACTGATGTACAGAACAGACTTTTGGATTCTGTGGGAGAAGGCAAGGGTGGGATGTTTCAAGAGAACAGCATTGAAATACGTATATTATCTAGGGTGAAACAGATCACCAGCCCAGTTGGATGCATGAGACAAGTGCTCGGGCCTGGTGCACTGGGAAGACCCAGAGGAATCGGGTGGAGAGGGAGGTGGGAGTGGGGATCGGGATGGGGAATACATGTAAATCCATGGCTGATTCATGTCAATGTATGACAAAAACCACTACAATATTGTAAAGTAATTAGCTTCCAACTAATAAAAATAAATGGAAAAAAAATTTTGTCCAGTGACAAATCTGCTTCCATTAAGAAGAGATTTTTTAAATGAAATTCAACAGACATTAAGCACACTGTGCTGAGTTATAAAGATGAGTAAGATTCAGTTCACAGCTTGCAGGATACCCACTGGGACCCAGCCATTAAGGGATGAAGTAAAAATCTTATTATTTAGCCCATCCCTTTCCCTCCAGATCGTGTGGGTTAAACTTCTCTACTTACAAGTTTGTGGACTGGAAAGGAAAAGTAAGTACCCCAACTTCTTGGCATTAATGAGGGGAGAATTGAATGTCCCTAGCTAAAAGGATACAGGTCACCCTAGGAATACTCTGCCTTGGAAATATGGATCCTGCTTGGGGCTGTGTGCACATTGCCACTGCCTGCCTCCTTCTACCTTCTTACTGCCTGTACAATACCTTTGTCCATTGTCAAGTTCCAGAGATTAGCCAAGGAAATAAATTCAGAGGCACACTTTCTCTGATGGTGAGAAAACACTAGCTCTACAATTCTTGACCCAATGACCAAAATGGTTTCTTTCTTTGGGTCAGTTTGTATTTCTGCAAAATGGCACCTGGCCATCTCTTAATTGTCCAAGAATGCCACACAATTAGTCCTCTAAGTGCTAGCCAGCAAGAATGGGGTGGGGAGGTCAGGTGCTGGCTGGACTTCAGGCAGCAGAAAAAAATCTAGGATCAGTTGGTTGGGCTGGACATTGAGCATGTTAATCAAAATGGAAGTACATTCCATTGGAGCGGGGAGCATACCACAGGTAAAATGAGGCAAGACAGTGAAGGCAGGGGCTAGTGCAGAGGTCAGTGAGGCATTGTGAAGAGAGAGGCAAAATAAGGAGAAAGAAAACAGTAAACGACTCTAGCCTTTAAACTCAGGGATCGACTGAGCCAAGCCAAGAATTTGACCAGATAGACAGAGGTCTGGGCAATGACTGAGCAGAGTATGGGCCACTCTTGTCCACTGGCGACAGAGCTCCTTCCTGTGATGATGCTATCATGGTGCTAAAATTTTAACCTGAGAGGCATGTGTGGTCTGGTAAGCGCTGCCAGGAAGGACTGGAAAAGAGTTTTAGAGAGGGTTTTTGTGGGGACAAATGATGAGATTACAAAGCAAGTGAACTTGGGTTTTGCAGAAAAGAGATGGACAGCTCTGGCAGGCTCAGAATTTCTTGGTTACGGCATACTTATCACTACACTGAGCACCATGAGATGAGCTAAATATTTTGTGCATCTGCACTGCCTTCCTGCACTGCACATCTGAGACCATCACTGGCTGGGAGCAAATCTTAGAGGGAGCAAAGGGGTCCCTCCATCGTGCCTGGGACAGAATAGATCGGCACCACTGAATGACCACCTGGATGAGTACGTGGCATCTGTCCAGTGAACACAAGGCTGGGTGAGCAGCATGCAGGGTGGCAAAGGGCACATGCTCTGTCTTTGTCCCATTGTGTCCATAAGACAATGCCTTATGGTCTCCAGATAGGCCTACATCTCATCTTACTGGAAAGGCTGGGCCAGGCTACATTTAAAGGCTGAGATGGAAGAGACTCTTCTACACATGCCATCCTTGACACAAAACCACACACAACAATTTTTATCCTTTTAATAACTGCCTTAATTTCATCTAGTTTTGAGTACATTTGGTTCCTTTAAGTGGCATCATGTATGTATGTTAGTTGCTCAGTTGTGTCTGACTCTGCAACCCCATGGATGGTAGACCGCCAGGCTCCACTGTCCATGGAATTCTCCAGGCAACAATACTGGAGTGTGTTGCCAGTCCCTTCTCCAGGGTATCTTCCTGACCCAGGGATCAAACTCCCGTCTACTACATTTCAGATGGATTCTTTACTGTCTGAGCTACCAGGGAAACCCCTTAATGGGGATCACATGTATGTGTGTTTAGTTGCTCAGTTGTCTCTGACTCTTTGTGGCCCCGTGTACTGTAGCCCGCCAAGCTCCTCTGTCCATGGGATTCTCCAGGCAAGAATACTGGAGTGGGTTGCCATGCCCTCCTCCAGGGGGCCTTTCCAACCCAGAAAAGGATCTTCCTGACCAAGGGATTGAACCCTGTTTGGGCCATCAGGAAAGCCCATGAATACTGGATTGGTAGCCTATCCCTTCTCCAGGAGATCTTCCTGACCCAGGAATCGAACCGGGGTCTCCTGCATTGCAGGCAGATTCTTTACCAGCTGAGCTACCAGGGAAACTCAATGGGCATCATACTACTACCTAAATGGTAGAATATTTAGGGACTTATACATGTTGATCTTGAGTTTCTGTGTCAAGTACATTTCATACTGCTTACTACACTAAACTGATGTTGTGACAGATCCTCACTAAACTCTTTTTGGCCTTAATGTATAATTATCTCTTGCTTTCTGCCTCTGTCAAGACACATTTAACAGGCATTTAACTTTCCCTCATAAGGCTTATAAGAGAAGTTGGTACAATGACTCTCCAGTTTATACTCTCTGTGCAGGTGTTAAGTATAAGCACAATAAAGCCTCCATAAGTTAGCACTCCAGTTCTGAAAGTATCATGGAACTAGCAAAGGTTCCAGACAGAAAGAGCTCCAGACCCCAAGAGGAACCAAAGACTTAAATTCAATTCTCAAAAGCCACTAAGTCAGTGTTCTTATGAAAAATGTAAAAGCTTTAGAGGTGGTTGTGAAAGATTTTTCCACGTGTTGATTATGTCCAGGTTCCCAAATTTTGTGCTCTCAGACACAAGTTTCTTTAAGAAAGGAAAAAAAAAAGTCCCCAAACCAATATGCTGGGAGCTTCACAGTTTCCCAGTTCCAGAAACTTTCTCAGATACAGCCTTTGTTTCTATGATAATCTCCCTTCAAAGAACAGCTGTTTTAGGATCACAAATAGCACTTCACTACAAGCAGGAAGCTCTCACCATATATATGAAGGAAATCATGACTAAAAGATTATACATACTCTTAAAATGAAGATTTAAGGCAACTGGAACAGAGAAGCAGCATCAATTTCCAACCCAGGTGCAGAACATTACATCAGGGGTTTCTGGACATCATATCCCACATCTGTCTTAACTTTGGAGTGTTCAAGGACTCAGAGTTGTGAGCCCATGTCACAGTTCAGACTGATAATGATACTGACCCTTTTACCCACAGACAGGCTTGGCTTCAAGCCTATCACAACCTTTTTTTATTTATTTAAATTAATTTGTATTGGAGTGTTAAGGGTCCCTTGGACTGCATGGAGATCAAACCAGTCAATCCTAAAGGAAATAAATCCTGAATATTCATTGGAAGGACTGATGCTGAAGCTCCAATACTTTGGCCACCTGATGCAAAGAATTGACTCATTAGAAAAGACCCTGATGCAGGGAAAGATTGAAGGCAGGAGGAGAAAGGGACAACAGAGGATGAGATGGTTGGATGGCATCACGGACTCAATGGACATGAGTTTCAGCAAACTCTGGGAGATGGTGAAGGACAAGGAAGCCTGGCATGCTGCATTCCATGGGGTCTCAAAGAGTCGGACACGACTGAGTGACCGAATAACAAATAGTTGCTTTACAATGCCGTGTTAGTTTCTACTCTGCAGCAAATGAATCAGCTCTACGTATACACATATCCCCTCTTTTTTGGGTTTGCTTCCCACTGAGATGGACATTTAGGTCCCCACAGAGCACAGAGTTGAATTCCCTGTGCTATAGAGTAGTTTCTCATTAGTTATCTGTTTTACACTTAGTAGCGTAAATACGTCAGTTTCAGTCTCCCAGTACTTCCCCTTCTTCCCCTCTGGTGTCCAAACACTTATTCTCTTATGTCTGTGTCTCTGTTTCTGCTTTGCAAATAAGATCATCTACACCATTTTTCTAGATTCCGCAGATATGTGTTAATATACATTTGTCTTTCTCTTTCTGACTTACTTCACTTTGTATGACAGTTTCTAGGTGCGCCCATGATACAAAAACAGAAATATAGACCAATGAAACAGAATAGAAATCGCAGAGAAAAACCCATACACGTACTGTCATCTAATCTATGACAATGGAGGCAAGAATATGCAATGGAAAAGACAGCCTCTTCAAGAAGAGGTGCTGGGAAAACTGGACAGCTACATGTAAAAGAATGAAATTAGAACATTTTCTAACACCATACACAACAATAAGCTCAAAATGGATTAAATAACTAAATAGAGCCAGACACTATAAATCTCTTAGAGGAAAACATAGGCAGAACACTCTTTGACATAAGTCGCAACAAGATCTTTTTTGACTCACCTCCTAGAGTAATGAAAATAAAGACAAAAATTAACAAATGGGACCTAATTAAACTTAAAAGATTTTGCACAGTAAAAGAAGCAAGCCATAAACAAGAAGAAAAGACAACCCTAAAAGTGGGAGAAAATATTTGCAAACAAAGCAACTGACAAAGGATTAATCTCCAAAATATACAAATGGTTCATGCGGCTCAATATCAAAAAACAAACAACCCGACCAAAAAATGGGTGGAAGGCCTAAATAGACATTTCTCCAAAGAAGACATAGAGATGGCCAACCAATGCATGAAAACATGCTCAACATCACTAATTATTAGAGAAATGCAAGTCAAAGCTACAACGAGGTATCACCTCACACCCAATTTAAATTTCACCAAAACTCCACCCTTCCCCCCAAATCCTATTACTGGATCTTTTCTTTCCCTTGGAGAGATGGTGTGTACTCCCTCTGGTGTATACTCCCCCTTGATGCATAAACTGACTTTGCTGGGCTGCAGCCATGTTCCTGGTGGTCTTAGTTGATTGGGATTAAGATAATGGGATAAATACAAGATCAAGAAATTACTGAAGAGGAGGAAGGGAGTTGTGAATGTTGGTGAGGAGAAAAGCTAGCTAACTAAGCTTGCAAGCTCCCAAAGCATTTTTTTTTCTTCAGAAATCCTTAGATCTGAGAATGACTCTCCAATGACATTTGTGTTCCGTGATGACCTTGCCTTGTGCGTCAACTTGTAGATCTTGAACTAGGTGAGTGTATTCTCTGATCAGGAAAGGGTTAACTCAGCAGGCTTGGGTTGCCCAGATCCTGCACATTCCAAAGAGAGACCTGTGTCCAGGACTGGCCCTTGACTAAGGCTGGAGATAATTAACCTCAGAGCCCCTGGAATACTCTGCTGATGCGAGTTATTCTATGCTAGAGATCTTGGGTTGCGCTGTATCCTTTTGACAATCTAGTCTATGCCAACGATGTGATTTATATGAATGCCTATTTTTTCATGCCTTAGGTCATAGTGTATCAGTTTGACCTCTGGAGTGCTAGAGGCTGAATAGCTAATGTGGGAGATGCATGTCTGCATGATTGAACCCCAATAAATCCCTTGGAAGCCAAAGCTGGAGTGAGTGTCTCTGGTTGGCAATACTAGGCTTATCTATAACATTGCTGGCTTAATCAAATGCAGCCTCGTGTCACTCTACTGGGCCCTAGGGGACACCAGGAGGCTGGCACTTGGCTTGGTGTCTCCTAGACTTTGTCACATGTGCTTTTCCATTTGCTGATGCTAATCTGTAGCCTTTCACTGTAATAAATCATAACCATGAGCACAGCAGCTTTTCTGAGAGTTTTCCAGGTCCTTCCAGTGGATCATCAGGTCTTGGGGACCCGATGGGGACACAGAATCCACTGCGAACCATCTTGTAGTCAGGCTCAAGGAGAGAAGGGTTTGCCACATGCCTGGGGCCCACCTGTATGTTCCCCACTCCAGCCTGAGAGTCTGCAGAGACCTTCCCAGCCCTCACACGCGCTTACCTTTCCCGCAGGTGGTCGAGCACTCTGAGGTACCCAGCTGCTTCCAGTTGTGATCCCGGCTCCGCCGAGGGGGCTGTGGAGCCGGCGGCACCACACTGTCCGGCCGGTGGGGAGAGAATCTGTCTGGCTGCCTGACCGGGAAGGTCTGTGCTGATTCCGACGTGAACATTTCCGGTGCCCCGCCGTGCGCGTCTGCCTTCTCCTGGTCCCCCTCTTTCTCTTTTCCCTCCTGCTGGCTCCTCCCTTCTGATACCAGCTGGCCGTTGAAGGGCTCCCCTAGGAGAGGCAAGTGCACACAGCACAGAAGATGGGTTTGTACGGTGAGTTGTCAAGAGGAAATGATCCAGCATTAGATATCAGGGAGTGTGAGATCATTTCTAACTCAAAGCACATATGTCTAAAATAAGTAGATGCTAATTTCAGTAATATTAAAATATTATTAAAAATGAATGAGGAAAAAATGAACATCACAGAAGGGAAAGTGAGCAAGGGCCTGGAGAGGCAATTTCTTTTTTTGCGAAAAGAACTACACACAACCAAAAGTCATACAACAGTGCTCAGCTTCATTTTTCGTTAAAGAACCACACAAGAGAGCAACAAGAGCAATTCTATTTATCTAACAATAAAAATGTGAAACTCTGGAAACCTTTAAATCCCTAAACCACTCATTGAAGGTGCTGTAAAACACACCATCTCACATTGGATGAGCCTGCAAATAGATGCAAAGCTTTGGAGGGCAACTTGGCAAGATCGCTCTAAATTTTAAATGCACATATCTCTTGACCTAGCCCTTCAATTTCCAGGACAATTGTCATGCAAATATTCCCATTCTTTTACATAAAGCTGTATGTACAAGTATGGTTACTCATTTGAAACACCAAAACAGTAGAATGAATTTAAATGCCCACCAGTGCGTGCATGTGTGTTAAATTGCTTAACAACTTAATCTGGAGCCTCTAGATTGATTAGGATTGAATTTTCTACCAGTTTCAAGGACGTTTCAAATTCAGGTTAGTTTTATGTTGGCTTATAGAAAAGACTGGCATGTGATGTTTCTGGTATACTTAGATTGTAGACAAAGATTCAGATCGGCTTGAACATGTTTGTACATGCCCAGAAAGGGCTGGACAGAGTCCCTCCAAATTGTTAAGAGATATTGCCTCTGGGAAGCTGGGTGAGGTATGAGGTTGGGAATACTGCCTTTTTTTTTTTTTTTTTAAATAAATAGACTTTATATATATATATATATATATATACACACACACACACACACACACACACACACACAGGTATATATGCCCAACTATATACCTATAGTTGCCATGCCCTCCTCCAGGTGATCTTCCCAACCTAGGAAGACATGGGTTCGATCCCTGGGTCAGGAAGAATTCCCATGGACAGAGCAGCCTGGAGGGCTACAGTCCATGGGGTTGCAAAGAGTTGGACATGACTGAGCACACACACATTGTACATATATAGAACCCGTTTGCCAATGCAGGAGATGTAGGAGACACGAATTCAATCCCTGGGTTGGGAAGATCCCTGGAGGAAGCCATGGCAACCCACTCCAGTATTCTTGCCTGGAGAATCCCATGGACAGAGGAGCCTGGAAGGCTACAGTCCACAGGATTGCAAAGAGTTGGACACGACTGAAGTGACTTGGCTCAGCACGGCAAGCAGTTTTAGGTTCACAGCAAAACTGAGTAGGAAGTGCAGAGAGTTCCCTTCTTTCTCCTGCCCCCACAAATGCACAGCCTCCCCCATCAACATCCCACATCAGAGTGGTACATTTGTTAAAACTGATGAACCTACACTCGACATAGCCAAAGTCCACAGATTACATTAGGGTTCACTCTTGGTGTTTTACATTTTGTGGGTTTTGACAAATGTGTGACATCTATCAACCATTGCAGTATCACACAAAACAGTTTTGCTGCCCTGAAATCCTCTATGCTCTGCCTATTCATCCCTCCCTCCCTTGTAATCCCTGGAAACCATTGATCTGTTTACTGTCTCCATAGTTATATCTTTTGCAGACAGTCACACATACATACTTGGAACCATATAGTATGCAGACTTTTCAGATTGGCTTCTTTCACTTATGCAGTTAAGGTTCAGACATGTCTTTTCCTGGCTTGATAGCTCATTTCTTTTTAGCACTGGATAATATTCCATTGTCTGGATGTGCCACAGTCCCTTTATCCAAATTCACTTACTGAAAGACATCTTGGTTGCTTTCAAGTTTTGGCAATTGTGGAGCCGTTGCATTTTACTTTACGTATTTCTATTTTGATTGAATAGTGTTCAAGCATTCATTAGTTTAATATCAGATAAGGAGGCAAATTCTAGGGTTACTATAAAATGCAGTTAAAACTTAGAGCTTTCTCTCCTCTTTCATCAGCACTTTCTTATTTAGTTGGCTACTTAAAATACTTCTTGGTTTAAAATACTATATGCAAATTAAACTAATAGAATCAAGACCAGTATATATCATTGATATAAATAACGCTGTCCAAATGTTATCAGATAAAACCTTTTAAGATCTTTTATGTGTCTTATATGCCCTGGGCACTGTGCTAGGATAGACACCTAATTCATTCAATACCTTTCCCCTCCTAAATAAAGCCTTTGAATGTACATTTTCTTCCTTTCTATTCTGTGGATTGTGAATGCATTCAGAGAAGTTACTTTCTTGCATGAAGATGCACACCAAAAAAAGGTGGTAGAGTTGAATTCAAGCTCTGGCCTCCTGTCTCTATTGATATGGAGGATGAAGCCTGGTCCAGATTGCCTCTCCTCATCAGTGTTTTATGGCTGAGCCCTTCTGGCCTGCTCTGTCCCAGGCAGCTGATCCCAAGACCACATGCCACCCATTAGCTGAGACCCATTAGGCTTGCTATCAATCACCATCATCCTATATGATTTCAAATAGTCTATCCAATTGTCCCTATAAGTCAGTATCAGCAATCTCAATATTTTGCCATCTGAACTTGTTTTCTCAGGCTGTATATTGCTCCTGGAAATGGCTTAAAAATACTTTCAGGCTGAGTGTGCTGACTTGCAGTTTGGACAACACATGTACCCCACATGCCAGGCAAACACCAGGCTGTTGTCTCCAGGCAGCCCACGTGACTCCTCCTCCATCTGGGACAGATGACCTGATTATCCAATCAGCAGCCCAGGGAAGAATGGATGGATGGGGTCTCAGGTCTGTCCCTTCACTTCCTAGGACAGACGTTGGGCCAGGTCACCTCTAGGCAGTGTAACAAGCACAGGGGCTAGTGACCCAGACTGGCCTGAGGTCCAGGATGTGGACAAGTAACTCAGTCTCTCTAAGCTTCTATTTCCTTACTCTTAAAATGGGGCTAATAATAGTTCCTTCCTCTGAGCACACTTGTGAGAATTGATGAGTTAGTCTATATGAAGGGCTCAGCAGTGTCTGGCACAGAGTGAGGACTCAGTCTGTGTGAGCGATTATTATGAATGTTTCTGCAGACCTTTCTGTTTGAAAGATAGAAAAGACAGTCTCTGGGTGGTAGGCTCCATCACCATTTGGTGAAGAAGTATCAGCCGGGGGCTGTGACGCATCCAGCGGCAGCCAAGCAGAGCTGCCAGCTCTGTCTCTCAGCAGAGCTCATCGGGAAGAGGTCAATTGTTAGATGCGAGCCCATGATGCTTTTCTTATAGGTCAAAGCCGTGTTAGTGGAAGCAGAAGGGGACCAAGAGAAAAGGCGTGTGGTAGACAGAACAATGGCCCTCTGAAGGTGTCTGGGTCCTAGTCCCTGGAACTTGGGATGTGTTAGTTTAATGTGGCAAAAGGGATTTTTCAGATATAATTAAGCTATCCTGGGTTTTGAGGTGGAGAGATTTATCTGGCTGAACTCAATGTAACCAGAAGGGTCCTTATAAGAAAGAGGCAGGAGGGTGAGAGTCAGAGAAGGAGATGTGATGGCAGAATATGGTCAGGGGCAGAGAGAGATCTAAAGGTGTTACTTGGCTGGCTCTGAAGATGGAAGAAGGGGCCACGAACCAAGGAATGAAAGTGGCCTTTTGAATTTGAAAAAGGCAAGGAAATTGATTCTCTCTCAGAGCTTGCAGAGGATGCATAGCTCACCAACACCTTGATTTCTGCCCAGCAAAACCCATTTTGGACTTTTGACCTCCAAGAACTATAGGACAGTAAATTTGTTATTGTTTTCTGCCCCTCAGTTTGAGGTCACCTGTTACAGCAGCAATAGGAAACTAATACATAAGACAATGCAAGATGTTGAACCGAAAGGCAGGCTGAGAATGTTCACTTTGGTTTTTTTTTTTTTTTCAGTTTAAAAAAAACTTGAATTAATTTTATTTTTGGCTGCACTAGGTCTTTGCTGCTGGTGCGGGCTCCTCTCCAGTTGCAGTGTGTGGGCTTCTTATTGTGAGAGCTTCTCTTGTGGCTCCTGGGCTTTATAGCAATGGGCTCCACTGCTCCATGACATGTGGGATCTTCCTGGATCAGGGATCAAACCCATGTCCCCAGTCTGCAGTGGCAGGCGGAGTCTTATCCATTGTACCACCAAGGAAGCTCTGTTCACTTCATTTTTAAATCAAGTGAACGAAACACTCTCAGAGAAAGTTCAGGCAAATGCTGAAGCATCCTCTGATACCAAGGCCCATTGACTCTGAAATATGTGTCCATGAATTTTCGCTGTGTTAAGTAAGAGACAGAGGGCAGATATACAAGACGAAGAGAGACAGGGCTTTAAAGGGAAATGATCTGGAGTGATTGGCAGCAAAACAAGAAGTTTTACCTGGTCTCCTGTGAGGTGGCACCTGTGGGCTGATGGCGTTGTTCCCCATGATAACGTACTCGTAGTGGACTCCTGGGTTAGGCTGCTGGTGTATCATCTGACAACACAGAGGTCAGGGTCACTGCACCGGGACACAGGAGCATTCCTTTCCAGCTGACCCTGGGCTCAATGGTGTAAGTGGCATTAACTATAAATAAGTGGATTGATTTACATCTAATATTAATAGTGGGCCAGTGACAGACTAAATGAAAGCTATTTTCAGATGGCCTTTTGCTATTTGCTTTTGAAGAATGAAGGACATAGTCTTTGAGAGATTCGGAAGAAAACTAGGCTGAAAGTCACGATTTTATAAGTTCCAAATGGAAAGATGGGCTCAATGGTAGCGGACCTTTCTGCTGGCTCCCTGCCATCTTCTGCATGACTTAGATTTTGTGCACAGATCTCAAAATGTCAGTAAGACACTTGGGTTTACACTACAGAGACATTGTTTGAACACTAGGTGGCGAGACAGAGTCATGAAGAAAGGGCCGGACTTCCGGCAGTGCCGGCAGGAGCTCTTCCAGGTTCCTCGGAAGTCCTCTGCCAGGCTTATGAGCCTGGCTCAGGAAGGTCTGCCCCAACCCTCTCCCTTACTGACTCTCTGGGTCCCATCCCCTCTCATCCATGGAAAGCTCCAGAATCACAGAGAGATGGGATGAGAAATACAGGTACCAAATAAGGGAAGTGTCTCCTGGGTCCTATTCTCTCAGAAACCCATGATAAAAGCTGCACAGGGCCATGGAAGCCAGCAATTAAACACTGTCTGGAACAAGAATACAAAACAAGCCAGTACTCAGTGGCGGACTAATTCCCTCCCTATTGGCTTTGGAGCACAAAATCCTTTGTACCCATGGCTTTCCTGGCGGGAGGCAGGGTGGTGGGCTAAAGAAAGCAGTTGAACAGGAATCTGAAGTGAAAATATGAGCCGGGCAAGGAGACAGGGTCATGTTTTGATGTTTCCATCTCTACTGCTTTATAAAGGGGTTCTCCTGATGGCCAGCCATGTCACCTGGAGCAAGTCCTTCAATCTCATAGCCTCTGATTTCTTCATCTGGAGAGGCAGGAGGTTAGAATCACAGCTGATCTCTGAGGTCCTATTAGCTAGAGGCGTTCTCTGAGTCACCCTGCAAGGGTGGGTCCTGTTCGGTCCATGAGGGTGTCTGCTCCGTCCATTTATGCCATCAGCCCTCACCCCTTCCCTACATGTGAAACGGGGCTTCCTGGCTCTAAATCACCCAGGGGAAGGCAGCCAGGAGAACCCTGGGGCCCCTCCCATCTAGGAACCACGTGGGGAGCAGAGAATCCCTGAGAGACATGGTGGCGTGACCACAGGTCCCCACGATCCACTCCCAATTCCCTCACTTCTCTTTTCACACAATCTGACACTCATTCTGGGCCTGGAAATCCTTCCCCGCTCTTCTGTGCTTCTATGTGAACGTTCTGCCAGTGCAAACTTTGTCCCATTTATGAAATTATTATTGGCCACCACATCCCAGACCACCCACAGTAGGCCTTTAACAACCTGAGTTTTTACCCCGATGCCATTTGAAACTTACCCAGAGTCCAACAACCACTGGACAGTCTATTAAAAAATATTCAGAATGAGTTATAACAAGGCTTCCTTTGTTGTTTCTAATCCATGAGCCACTTGGCCCAAAGGGAATGAACATGTAACTGTATAGTTGGACAAGTAGTATTTATAAAACTCAAACTCAGCAAGTATCAGGTACACCAGTGTGACTCTGGAGATGGTGAGAGAATATATATTGATGGGTGAGCTCATTCCGTTTTATCAAAACTTTGATTTTGAGCTTTTATTTCTGGTCCCCTTTTATTTCCTGATCTTCTTTAAGAAGCTTGGATTCTAGTGGTTTCTTATAAAAATAAAGACCATTTTTAACTCTGGGGCAACTTAATACTTTTAGTTTCTTGTAAAAGAAATCAAAGTGCTGTCTTCTGGGAAGCAGGGAACCTCTAGTAAATCTCTATATTGTTACTCCAAGCTTTACTGTGTCATGCAGAGGACTCTGGAGTTCTTGTTTCTTCACTTGCTTTAATCGAGTTTGAAGAGGGCTGGGAACTGTGAGTGGTCTTGTCTTGCTTTAGGCATTTGCTTTCTTTTGCCATAAAAAGAAAATATGCCAAATTAGCATAGGAGGAAAGTGCCTGGAGGAGATCCAATGCTCATGAAATAAAGGATATGTTTTGCCTCTGATTTGATTCAACAAGTAAAATTGGTTTTACTGGGTCAGTAAACGCTGAGGGTAATAGGCATCTGGGAGAGTTTATGGTTTCTATGAACTGGGTACATTTGGAGGTGAGTGGCAAAGATGAGCACCAAGCATGTAAGGGTACCCCAAAAGGCGCCGCTCAAATGATCTTATTGAGCTGGGGCAACCTTTGTTGTTTAAGTTTTCTAAAGTGTGGTCCTGAGAAGCAAGAAGACACAAAGGCAATAGTTCAAACTCACATAGACATCCAAGATCTCATTAGTGGGACCTTCAGCCAAAAAGGACTCTCCGGCAGTGCTCGAAATCTCATTTGGACGCTTGTACGTGAACATGGTCCCTCCGCCCTCGTATTTTCCGGGCCGGTCAATTGCCCAGTTCCCATTGATGATGGAGCGGCCAGAACGACTTCGCAAGGCTGTTGAGAAAAATGAGACAGTCCTGGGTGAGCCCAGGTGTGCACAAGAAGCTGACTGACCCCTGGTTGCTGGCTTATTCACTCATCAAGTTTGTTGCTTCATCCACTATGTGTGGGGCACTGGCCTAGGCCGTGGGGCAGGATGAGGCATCTAGATCACATCCCTTTGGGCCTCGTCACTCCTTCAACTGACTTCAACTCTTTCTACCTCTTGGACTTAGTCTAGAAAGGAACGGTGGGAGAGGTTAGGAGAGAAGGACATGGAAAATACATGACAAAGGAGAAACTTAGAGGTGAAAGACAAAAGGAAGGGGGAACAGAAACTGTATTCTATCCCATTATCTAAGGGTGAGAGGTTGCACACTGGCAGCTCATGAGCTGATTTTGGCTCACAAATGAGCTTAATTTGGCCATTATAGTGTTTTTATTTAAAAAAATATTGAACCCAAATTTAAGAATTGGGAGATTTCACATAAAAAGTTTAGAGTTCTAGCTTCTCTTGTAAAACAAGAAGACATGCTAACCTCGGCTCCATGTTCTGTCATGGCAGCAATCATGGAGCTGGGAGGACCACCTCTGTTAGACAGGGCCTGCATGCTCTGACTGTCCTTCTCCCCACCGCTCCTTAATACTCCCCAACACCACAGCTAAGTCTCAGTTTATTACCCATTGGCTCATGAATATAGAATATGCATCATGCTTGAATTATTATTTTTTCTTACTGAATAGAAATTTTCTTACAATTCTTCCTACCTGTATGTCTACTAAAAGTGGCAAAACTAAAGATGGGCTAGGAGGGTCATATGATTTTCTCCTCCTTGGTCACCTCCACTCATGTATATTTCCTGCCTTCTGCAGCCTTCTAAGGATGGGCACTGTGAACTAGTCCCACGTACACCGTCAGAATGGATCGTCACAACATTGCTAAGCAGGTGCGCAGCATCATTTTTCAGAGCACGTCTGAGAGGGAACTTGTTCAAGTTCAGAGATGGGTGACAGAACTATGACTTGGAGTCCACACTCAGGAGGGAGGTAATAAAGGAGAAGAGGGGCAAGGAACAAGATTCTATGGTTACCGAGAGAAGAAAGGACACATTTTCCCCCCTCACACATTTGGTACCTGGATACCACCACCACCCCCCAGGCCAAAGGAAAATTGGATTTAAAGGAGATCCTATTCTTCTTTTTTTTAAAATATTTATTTACTTATTTGACTGCGTTGGGTCTTAGTTGTGGCACACAAGATCTTCTATTGTGGCATGTGGCTCAGCTGACCCATGAAATGTGGGATCTTTAGTTCCCTGCCCAGGGATCAAACCTATGTCCCTGCATTGCAGGGCAGATTCTTAAATACTGAAACACAAGGGAAGCCCCAAAGGAGATCATGCTCTAAGTGACATGGTCAATGGTAGGTCTGTGGTGGCACTGGTTCTGTGTACTTTCAATTTGCAGTTACTAAACTTAATACTTTTTTACAATGTATTATGAAAAAATTTGCACATGAACAAAAGGAGTGAGAAAGGTATAATAAGCCTCCATGTACCCATCCCATCACCCAGCTTCAACAATTATCACGCCTGCCTTAGCTTGTTTTGCTTTGCCAATGCCAGACATTATCTTTACGTTTTTCAGTGGCGGTGGTGGTTTAGTCACTAAGTCATGTCCAACTCCTGTGACCCCATGGACAGTAGCCTGCCAGGCTCCTCTGTCCATGGGATTCTCCAGGCAAGAATACTGGAGTGGGGGTTGCCATTTCCTTCTCCAGGGACATTTTTTAGTAGATCTCTCTAAAGCATAAAGACTCTTTGTTTCTTAAAGCCAGTTTAGCAGTGTTTTCTACAATGGGCCTTCCCAGGCCTGCAGAGTCAGAAGCTGCTTGCAGGAGTGGAAGAACCCCCAAGGCTGAGGTGACCCATGCCTCCCACCCCCCAAAGATGCTATCCCTGGCTGGCTCACTACCATGGCTCCTGGGAGATCACAGCTGTGGAACATCGAATACCAAGTTAGAAAATCACTTCAGCTTACTGAGTGGCAAAGAGGAGTCAAGAGTCAACACTGAGGATGAACAGGTTTGGGCTATTTTCTCTCAAAACCATAGTTCTTGAGAGTGGTCCATATAGGGTCACTGTATTCTCACTTCCCATTCACTTCTCAGTCATCTCCAATCTGGCTCTTGTTCCCATTATTTCACTGAAACAATTCAAGTGAATGTCACCAGGACCTCCATGTTGTCAAATCCAGTGGGCACTTTCAGCCTTCCTCTTATTGGATGTCTTGGCAGCATTTGGCACTACTGGCTGCTCCATCCTATTTGAAGTCTTTTTTCACTGGTTTCTGGGACACCTCATTCAATTGGCTCTCCTCCTGCTCTCAGGCTGTGCATCTGTTCTTTCTTTTTTCTCATCTTTTTCTACTTGGCCATCAAATATTAGTGTTCCTTAAGACTTCAGAGTAGACCTGATTTGGGTGTTGACTCCTTTCTTGGGCGATTGCATCTATGCCCATGGCTTCAATTACTATATCCCAGTGACTTTGATATTTATGTCTTCAATTCAGTATTTTCCTCTGGTCCTAAGCTTGTGGGATTTTAGTTCCCTGACCAGGAATCAAACCTAGGCCCTCAGCAATGGGAGTGTGGAGTCCTAACCACTGGACCTCCAGGGAATTCCCTAGTTCCAGACTTGTATATCTAATTACCTATTTGACAACATCCCTCAGATGTGTAGGTCTGAACTCATTCTTGACCTCTTCCAATATTTCTTTTTAAACTGAAGTATAGTTGATTTACAATATTAGGTTAAATTCAGGTTCTACTGCACAATGATTCAGTATTTTTACAGATTACACTCCCTTTCCACTTCCCCTTGTAACCACTAGCTTGTTTTCTACACCTGTGAGTCCATTTCTGTTTTGCATATGCATTCATTTATATTATTTGTTAGACTCCACATATAAGTGATATCATACAGTGTTTTTCTCTCTCTGACTTATTTCACTAAGCCTCATATTCTCTAGGTCCATTCATGTTGCTGCAAATGGAAGAATTTCATTCTTTTTATGGCTAAGTAAGCTTCCTTGGTGACTGCGGTAAAGAATCCGCCTGCCAATGCAAGAGACGCAGGTTTGATCCCTGGGTCAGGAGGATCCCCTGGAGAAGGAAATGGCATTCCATTCTGGTATTCTTGCCTAGAAAATCCCATGGACAGAGGAGCCTGGCAGGCTATAGTCCATAGGGTCACAAAAGGGTTGAAAACAACTTAGCAACTAAACAACAACTGTTATCCACGCATTCCCACACTGTTGGTGGGAGTGTAAACTGATTCAACCTTGGAAGGCAGTCTGGTTACTAATTATTCTCAGGTCAAGAATATGGGATTAAATGTCCCTCCTCCCCATCCTCTCCCCCTCACAATGGGTTTAAATGCCCATACTCTTGACCCGAGAATTATTCTTCTAGGAAACTACTTGACAGATATCCTTCTGTAAGTATACAAAAGTGTTTTTTAATAAGGATGTTCTCTGCAGATTGCTTTAAACTGAGAAAAACTCAAACCAACCTAAATATCCATTAATAGAGGATTATTTAAGTAAACTGTCATCTTGGATAACCATGCAATGGAATATCACATGGCCCTAAAAACAATGAGGCAGGTCTGTGGGTATGAAATGAACTCTGTGATACATTTTAAAATGAAACAAAAATACAAAACAGTCCATTTGGTATGATCTCATTTGTTATACACTTTAAAATAAAAATATACACATTAAAAAAATATGTAGGCACACACATAAAACATTTTAGGGCAAGACAGTCTAAAACAATTAATATTTGGGGAAAGGAATGGGAGTTTAAGTTGGGATGGGAGATAAGAAGGGAGACATTTATTTCCCACTTTATATCCTTTTACTACCATTTAAAATTTGCTTTACCACATGCATATATTATTTTCTTTAAAGCTTAAAAATTTTAAGTTAATATAAAGGACATGGTACAAGCAGAAATAAAATATTTTCCCCCCTTTTTACAGCTTCTCCTTAAAACCCAATTTGGAGCATCAAAAGCTTAGAACTGAGGTAGGTTCTGGCTAAGATTTTATTGCTTTTAATGGCAGTATTATAGAAGAGGTTATTATCTGGAAACCAAAAAGCCCATTAAAGAACCATTTGAAGTATGGCAAAGACCCCCCTAGGAAATTAAGCACTGGGACCCTGAATCGTTTTACCATCTACTACTGTTATCCTTGGGGGCTCCCCTGGTGACTCAGCAGTAAAGAATCCGCTTGCCAATTCAGGAGACCTGGGTTTGATCCTTGAGTAGGCAAGATCCCCTGGAGAAGGAAATGGCAACCCATTCCAGTATTCTTGCCGGGAAAATCCCATGGATAGAAGAGACTGGTGGGCTATAGTCTGTGGGGTCACAAAAGAGTCGAATACAACTTAGCGACTAAACAACTGTTATCCATGGATTCTCACAAAGGGTTTAGGATGAATTTTTAACCATAGATTAGCAAAACACTTTAAAAAAAAGCAACACCAGATTTTTTGCAAACATGGTCCTAATACCATATGCCCAGAGGTTAGCTTCTGAAACAGGTCCAAAACTAGCCCCCCATCTGGCCTGACATATTGAAAACAGCTGCATCTACAATATCTGTACTTGTAAGCAGCTCCAGGGCTATTAATGGTGTCCAGAACTAACTCACAAAAAGGTGCAGGTGACTCATGGCTTTTGCTAGTGCGTATGTTCACTGAGGTCAAGATTTGGCAAAGTCTGTCTGAAAGGCACCCTCACAACTAAGTCAATAAGAGGAAATCTCCACTCTTGTTGGACATTTGGGTTTTATTCCAGTTTCTTTCTTTTTTCCATTTATTTTTATTAGTTGGAGGCTAATTACTTTACAATATTGGAGTGGTTTTTGCCATACATTGACATGAATCAGCCATGGATTTACATGTATTCCCCATCCCTATTCCAGTTTAAATTGTCAATGCTGGGCATA